GGTGGACTGGGACTTTTCCCATTTTTATGTGCTGTTGGAGTGGAAAAAGAATATGAAACCTGGATGGAGCAGGCAGTATAAGCAGTTGAAGAGTGGGATATACCAGATGCTCAAAAGAAGCAGGGCCCTTTAAACTTTCTCTGGAAAGTTTAAAGGGCCCTGCTGCAGAAGCTATCAGAAGTCTAACGTTGAGCCGAGGGCATTTTATTGTGCGTGACTACCTCTCCCTATTGCATGACAAATTTGGATCTGCTGAAACCCTTCTAGCTTACTGTTTCTCTTTGAGCATATGTATCAAAAGAGAGGCGAAAAGCTGTCTGAGTATATAAGACGGCTGAACAAATTATTATACCAGGTTGTGGAAAGGGGGGGGCTGGATCCAACTGATGTGGAGCAAGCCCGGATGGAGCAACTTTCCCGGGGTGCTTTAGCCTTGGATCCAGTCTGGAATCAAATAAAAATTGAAGCTAAAGGGAAAATCTGGGGGTATTGTGAGTTCATAAGGAGAGTTAGGGCGACACAAGTGGTAGAGGAGGCCAAAGAGGCTACAGCCGAATTATCATCAGGATGGCCCCCAGGCATGGAAATGAGGAAGAGTGGAGAGGCTGACAACTATGCAAGCTCAGATATCAAAATTAACCAGGATGATGGCCTCGTGGGTGGCAATGGATGGTTTGCCTCCAAATGGAGGCTGAAGTGGGGCTTGGACAGCTTAGACCAGATACCCCTGAGTCTGTACTTAAAGTTTGGGAATGGGGAGAAGCTCTCAGAGAACCTGAGGTGGATGAGCAGTCTGAGGAGCTGCCGGGACAGGAGAAAATGCCGTTAGTTCCAGAGGCCCCAGGGATAGAGGAGTCTATAGAGATAGGCCCAGTTATTCCTGCTCCACAACTGCCAGAATTAGAGAATGGGCTTCCAGCCCCGGAGATCTTTGAGGGTGGAAAGTTATGGGAGGAGGACCCTCGCATTATTGCCGAGCTCAAAGTACAGAGATCAAGACGGGTGATACACCTAATTAGAAGATTGACATATTATGCTCTGGGCCACAGCACAGAAGAAGTGATACTCATTGCTAGACAAAATTCTGATTTACCTCCGGACACCTGAGATTCCCGGTAATGTTTTTTTAATTCTTTGGGGAACCAAAGAATATTTGGGTGGGGGGAGTGTGTAGTGAGAATGGGTTCAGTGAGAGCTTTTGCAGGAGCCCTGCCAATCCAGCAGGGAAATGAGGAGTTCTGGCAACTGCTGTTCAGCTGGCGGCGGGGCGTGGTCTGAGGAGGGAAGAAAAAGGAGGAGGAAACTGACAGAGAAAAAAAGAAGAAGGAAGGTGGTGAGTTTGGGATGCTGGGAGTTGGTTCAGTGAAGAATTAGCCAAGCGAAGAGAAAAAGTAAGAGAGTGGGGCTTCGTGTCCTTTTTCCTTGTTTTTTTGTTGCGGGAAAGCCGGAGAGAGAGAGAGAGAGAGAGAGAGAGAGAGAGAGAGAGAGAGAGAGAGAGAGAGAGAGAGAGAGAGAGAAGCCTTTTACTGTTTTTTCGTTGCGGGCAAGCTGGATGGAGAGAGAGAAAGGGAGAGAGAGGGGGGTATGTGAAACCTTTTACTGATTTTTTTTTGTTGCTGGTAAGTTGGACAAAGGGAAATAGAGAGGGTAGATCAGGGAAGTTTTATTTGTTCCCTTTGCTGGAGCAAGCTGGGTAGAGGCAAAGGGGGCAGAGAAGGGGAGGATTACATGGAGTGAGACGAGGAGACTGGAGAAGGGAGGTCTCTGCAAGTTCCAGGGAAAGATTGATCACCTTCACACCACGCAAGCTGCTGTTACCAGGGGCTGACTACCATCGTCATACGCAAGCTGCTGTTACCAGGGACGGACTATCATTGACTTATGCAAGCTGCTGTTACCAGGACTCATTACCATTGTCATATACAAGTTGCTGTTACCAGGGACTGACTACCATCGCCCCTTGTAAGCTGTGACTGCTTGAGATTGACCATCATTATTCCATGTGAGCTACCGCCGAGCGAGATCGACCACTGTCGCCTCGTATGAGTGTCTGCCAAGTGTGACTGAGCATCACCGCCCTAGGTGCCTCTGTTAATCAGAGGTGCCAAAGTGAGAGTCCTCTTGGACCGGCAGCCAGGTCAAGAGAAGGCCGGGGGGGGGGGGATTTTAGCGTTTCCTACAGGGGTGGTGCTACACTAATATCTATATATCTATATATCTGCCCTTAATATCATTAAAAATGTAAATCCTGGGCATACATATGTCAATAAAAATATAGAAAAACGAACACTAGGATAAAAATAAACAGGACCATTTAATATAAACAAGCCTGTAAGTAAAAGAGTTACTGAGCTTTCATCAGCCAAACTACTGACGTCATCTCTCTCTCTCTCTCTCTCCCTCCCCCCCCTCTTTCTCTCTCTCTCTAAATAAAAGAAAATATAGTATACTCAGACTTCAGTAAGACATTAGATAAAGTAGACCATAGATATTTTGGAAAAATCTGGGCTAGACGGTCCCATTACCAAATGGATCCATAGTTAAATGAACAACCATAGCTAAAGGTAATCATTAATGGATCTATGTCCACATGGAGGGTGGTATGCAATGGGGCACCTCAGGTTCTGTCCTGAGCCTGTACTATTCAACACTTGATAAATGACTTAGATGAACCGAGGTGGCGCAGCAGTTAGAGTGCAGTACTGCAGGCCAATCTCACCGGCTCAAGGTTGACTCAGCCTTCCATCCTTCTGAGGTAGGTAAAATGAGGACCCAGATTGTTGGGGGTAATGTAAATATATATATACATTGCTTACTGGTGTACACCGCTTAGAGAGTGCTTGCACTTAAAGCGGTATATAAGTCTCATAAATAAATAAATAAATGAAGGAATAGAAGGAAAGCCCATAAAATTTTCAGATAACACAAAGCTAGGAGGGAGGATTGTTAATACCTCTGAATACAGGCTCAAAATTCAAATGGATCTTGATAAGCAGAACATTCTGCCCTATCCATTGAAATGTTGTTTTATGTAAGGTTCTTCACTTAGGCTAAATACACACACAAGTACAAGACAGGTGATACTTGGTCTAACAATAATACTTGCTAGAAAGATCTGGGGGTTATGGTAGACCACAAAGAAAGGGTGTGCCAGTAACATGCTGCAGACACCAAAAATACAAATGCAGTTTTAGGTTGCATTAGTACATCTATGGTATCAAGATGGTAGACAGTGATAGTATTGCTCTATGCTGCACTGGTCAGACCACACCTTTAATATTGTGTCTAGTTCTGGTAGCCACAATACAAACAGGATGTTGAGGAACTGGAAAGAGTGCAGAACAACAAAAATGGTGAGGGACTAAACCCCATGAAGAAAGATTAAAGTGATCCTATAAAGAGTGGTCTATATTTAGCTTAAAGAAGAGAAAACTAAGGGGTGACATGATAGCAGTATTCTGATATATAAAGGGATGTCACCGGGAAGAGACAGTAGATTTATTCTCCCTGGCATCTGAGGAAAAGGTAAGAATCAGTAAGTGGAAATGTTACACTGCGAGATCCAAACCTGAACTAAGACAAAATTTCCTGACTATGAATCCCCCCCCCAAATTTAATAAAATAAAAATGGAACAGCCTGTCTCCTGAAGTTGTAGATGCTCTATCAGTGGATGTTCTCAAGAAAAAAAAAAACTGGACAGCCTTTTGTCCAAAATGAAATGAGAAATCATAGAATCATAGGGCTGGAAGGGACCTTGGAAGTCTTCTAGACCAACTTCTTTCCCAAGGCAGGACAAATGGTTGTCCAATCTTTTCTTGAAAACTTCCAGCGATGGAGCCCACAACTCCAGGAAGCAAGCTATTCCTCCTTATTTCCAGGTTGAATCTCCCTTTGACAAGCTTCCACCCATTTCTTCTTGTCCTGTCCTAGGGGCTGTAGAGAATAGATCAATGCTTTCTTCCCTGTGATAGCCCTTCAAGTATTGGAAGACTGGTATCATATCTCCCCTGAGCCTTGTCTTCATTAGGCTAAACATTCCTAGTTCCCTTAACCTTATGATTTAGCCTCCAGATCTCTTATCATCTTTGTTGCTCTTCTCTGCACTCTTTCTAGGGGCTCAGCATCTTTTTTTGTATTGTGGTGACCAGAACTAGATACTGTATTCAAAGTGTGACCTTACCTGTGCGGTATACAGTGGTACTATTACTTCTCGTGATCTTGATGCTATCCCTCAGTTGATATAGCCTAGAACCATGTTGGCTTTTGGCAGCTGCAGCACACTACTGGCTCATACTTAAACGGTGAGCAACTAGGGCATTTAGATCCCTCTCACAGTTACTACTATTGAACCAAATACCTCCTATTCTATACATTTGATTTTTAGGATTTTAAGATATTCTATACCTATGCATTGGTTTTAAGATTCCTGTACTTGGCAGGTAGTTGGACTAGAAGACCTATATACAGCAGATTCTTAGAAAACATATAGATTTCATATTTTGTATTGGTTATGAATTATCAGTTATTTTCATATAGGAATTATTAGAACAGCTTTTAGAACAAACCAGACACTCAAAAGCTATGATAACTATAATCTAACATAAACCACACAGGTTCTAACTCAGGTTGCAGCCAAACAACAATGTATAATTAGCCTTAGATTACGACTTCTTTTGACCTATGAAAAGAACTCTGTTCAGGCATTTAGAAATTCAGAACAGCTTGGGCAGATTTGATCAACTTCTTAATATCTATGTAGGAAAAATTACAGAACAGGATCCAGGTTTTCTCTAGTAGTTCAAAATGTTTATGTGTACTTTTGTCATAGGGAAGCTAATCTTCTTTCAGTGCTAAAGAATGTGATTAATGAACACCCCCCCAAACTGGTCAACAAATTTCAAGACTTCCCGTCTCTATTTTTATGTTATCTGTGAATTGCTGCTTCTGGAACTGTTACATTTATTCCCATATTATTTTATAGAATGAAAATGATGCTCACCTCCTCACGCATCTTTTTTACTGTCTCTCCTTTCTGCAACAACAACATGAAAAGAAACAGTTGTAAGAACAAACTAAAATGTCATAATAATATACAGATTTTTATCTTTTGCATGGTAACTAGGCAATACTGTTAAGCACTGCCCAATCAGTAAAGTTGTATTATGGAAGCAAGGTAGAGTTTTGAGAAATTAGACTGAATATGAAAATCTTGAAACTCATAATACTGAATATGCACAATTTATAATCTATTATCTGATTCGGAATTCAAAATCTGTATGATTAAAGGAATGCAAAATTTGTATACAATTATAGAGATGGAATAGTGAGCATTTAGATGAAAATGGATATTAAGTTCACCCTGAACTTTATCTTTAGAGAGAACTAATTTAAAGTATTTTAATCACTGATTTTATCACTGCAGTGATGATGGCTAAAATGATTATCTCCTTTTCTCCCAAATGCTGGAAATTGAATGAACAATTTGATCTTTTTTTTCCATTCACAGTAGCAATGTTGCAAAGCTCAACAATTTTGGAAATTAATTCATTGTAGAATGGAACAAATCTTTAAAGTCATAATCCTGTTTCAATCTGAAATATTTTTTATTAGACTTCACCAAACCACACTTTCCTTCAAAATACATAGAATTGGCATTATACATGGTAATGGTTGCATTATATGCTTTTTATTGCAAAATAAATCTCCAACTATGGAAGAATGGTTAAACTGTGGGAATATTGTTTGATATTTTGAATAAGTTCATATTTAAAAGTAAACCTTATGCACATTTTAATCTTATTTGGAAACTATTTCTGGAATACAGTTCTGTAAATGGAATTGTGCCACATCCTGCAAGGGTGTTTAGAGTTGTTATTTCAATCCAACATACAGTTTACAGATTATTTACAGAATACTTTCAATGTACTTCTTTTCTCTTATTGACTTGTGTTAAACAAATATTTTTACAATTCAAAAGAGACATGTTTTGACTAGAAATTGAATATGAAATGTCCTAGAGTATTCTAAGTTGTTAATTAGTATATTAGCCAAATGACATTTTAGAACTCCTGATTATTCAAGAGTTTTTGATTATCCGCCATCCATATTTTATTGCCTGTATTACATTTTTTCCATTGCTATATTTTCTATTGTTTTTGGTTTTGCATATTATTCGGTTAGTGATGATTGAAGCCATACAAAGTAAGTTTTAGTTCACAGAAAAATAGGCATCAATTTTATCTGTTTTATTATGGACCCAGATGCAATCTCTTTTGCTTTAATGAGGAGATATGTATATAAAATTTTCCTGAAATAACCTTTAGTAAAATCTCTTTCTCTCTCTCCAACTATATGATCTCCTGTGGTGTAATAGTAATAAATCAGTATATGAATATTTGAAGACCATTTCATTGTTAAGATAAATAAATATATAATTCTTATTTGCAAGATATTCTGAAACTATAGCTTTATAATGACTATTTATATATATTGTTTGACAGTAACAGGATATTAACTTTATTAGATTAGCTACGTCTCAGAATTCCATTATATTTGTTGTGAAATACAATGCTTTTTATTTTCAATGAAAATAAATGTTAATTATATTTTGTTCTGGGATCCTTCTAACTGGTGACAGACCAGGAACAATAACAGATTGATTGATGCAAAACCTGACTTATATCAAAGGAAATTGAGAAACAGAAGTATTTTCAAACATTGGTTAATTAGTGTGAATATTTAGCTGGTGTAAATGTTATATTCAATTGAGCCTGATTCCTAGGGACCTCATGTACATACCTATTTAGTTTATTTGGAGAGTGAGTTAGGAAAATTTCCTTGATAGAAGTATTTCCTCAAAATGTTTTCAAATTAATTTCTTATATGCAATTATTCGTATTGTTCCAGGCTTTTCTACAATTATCGACCCTTTGTTTATTATAGATATGCTCTCACCATTTTATAAGATCCAATCTGAATATCTGCATTTTCCTTCTGCAGATGTTCTTGATCAGTCTCTATTGCCTTCTGCTATTAATAAGAAACCCGACTGGCAAATAACTCAGTGAAAAAAGCCGAAGTTTACATTTAGGGAAAAGGGAGATGGCTAAATACATAGGTTTCTATTTGACCAATTATAGCTCTCATGCTCTAATTATACAGCTCTTATTCTCTCAAGAACTAGCTAGGAAGGAAGAGGAAGAGAAGGCAAAATCTTGAGCCTCCTGCTGATCGCTTCCCACATGCATAGCTCTGCCCGCAGAGAACATGTATGAGCATTCAAATGTACAGTACATCACATTACCTTCCCAATGATGCTTCCAACTTCCTGTTGGAAAGAAAATGACAAGAAAGTAAGAATGTAAAAGCTTTAATTATCAGTAAATGTTATTTATTTTGCTTATGGTATTTATTAATTTCCAGTCCCAACTGCATGGGTACTCAGTAAAAAATAAACAATTTCTTTATTAGCAAAAATATAATGCAATGAAGAACCCCACATTGGTGGGGTTTCAAAGATTTTAGGATGGCCAGTGTTCCCCTGCCCTGATAGTCTCTCTTGGACAGCCAGTTCTTGCTGTTGTGACTGCATAGCCATATTTGGAATTAAATGAAAAGTTATTACTGCATATTAATGTTGGCTAGGTAAAACCTAAAATGAAAAACTACATTGGATATTAAAAGAGAACCTTTGACATCAATTAAATGCTACTTATGTCAGTAGTTATTTGTTCTTCTTTTATGACACATTCCCTCCCCACTCTACTACAACAAGTTTTACATATCTGTACTTTGTTAGTAGATAAGGAGAAAAAGAATTTTACCATGTAGCTTTCTCCCTCATCCATTCAAGCCAAACACTTTAAAAAAATTGAACAGCCAGGCCAAAACAACAACTCCAACCCCAACAACCCTGTCCAGAATTTATCACACTGGGTTTACACCATTGCCTCTATTTACAGTAAAATATGATGCATGCATTAACAGGTTAATGGCAAACAGGAATGTTAATGAACCCACTATGTCACAGTTTGGCAATCTGACTTTCATAGACTTGCTTTCGTTCTCCTAACATTTGGCATTCCACTTTTTGAAAGCTTTTAATAAGAAAAAAAAATGGGAAGCAAAACACTAGCTTCTAGTATCATTTTAATTTTCCCTGGAGTTCCTGTTTATTACAAAGGATTGTCCATATTGATGAATGGTGATCAGAGCAGTGTTTATACAGAGGAACTCAGGTGTGTTGGCAGTCTGTCCAAGCATATTTTGATGCTTTATATCTTGCGTGATATTACTGTATTCAGAAATCTTGCCTGCCTGGAGGGAGAAAAAGAGAAGAACTGCCAGGAACAAAAGGCTTTTACTCCTTTTATCTGGTATCTTCATGCATAATTGAAGAGAGCTGGCTGCGTATCTCCATCTCCTTTACTTGGAGAAGTTCCTGCAAGAAGTACCAAAATCATACTTGCTTTTTCAAATAATTGCTTATTTATTTATTTAACTCATCTCATGGCAGTGACTCTGGGTAGCATACAATGCCTAACCCAAACAATCCAGAAGAACTATTTCTTTACCAACCAGAATTACTTATTTGAGATGAGCAGCCATAGAAATTGAATAAATTAATAAATAAATCCAATGAAAAATGTTTGAGGTTGCTCAAATCATGGTATTCACAGGAAAAAAACCAAATTAAACAATTGGCTGGCAGAATTTGCTCCACTTCCCAGCTTGGGAAAAGCCTTAAAGCCTTAGCTTTAAAGCCTTAAAAAAGGCTAAATAAATCCTTGCAAATAAATACAAAATGGTGAACTAGACCAGTGGTTCTCAACCTTTTTAATGCCGCGACCCTCAACCGGTCGTAAGTCGAGGACTACCCAACCGGTCGTAAGTCGAGGACTACCCAACCGGTCATAAGTCAAGGACTTTCCCTGCCCGGGAGCGCCGCACATGCGTGGGGCCGCCCCCTGCGCCGGCCGAGGCGTAGCTGGCAAGCGACAGAGAAGGCGCAGGCTGAGCACCGGCTGGGCCACCAGCTGGCCCAGCCCAAGGGAGGTAAGGCATCCGCCAGGCCCCACGTGTGCCAGCAACCCTCCCTGCGCCCGCCGGCCTCCCACCTCCCACCCCTGGCCTTCTTTTACTTACATTTTTAGTAGTTGCTCAGCAGGGAGGGGTGGAAACTTCCAGACAGCTCGCCTTCACTGCAGACAACTTGCAGCACCATTTGCAGAATGGGACTTTTGGCGGGCTCAGCAGGGCAGAGACAGCCTGGACAATTCCTATTGGCTTTTGAAAGCCAATAGAATTAGACTCTGTTCAAGAGAGTCTATTCTATTGGCTTTCAAAAGCCAATAGAATAAAAGGGAGTAGCACAGCTAAGGAAAAGGGGGGGGGGGAAATGGCGGACTGCGTTGTTTGAATGACCCTGTGAAATGGTCATTCGACCCCAAATGGGGTCCCGACCCACAGGTTGAGAACCACTGAACTAGACAATCTAACCCCCAAAATAACCCAATCATAAAACCTATTTTTCCATGTTAAATTCACAGCATTAATGATTCTCTTTTGTTCCTAATTAGTTGTTCACATAATCAAGTCCTTGTGATTTTACGTAATATAATCTCTTTCTAATCTGTTGCTTAAACTCCTATTTTCAGAATCAGAACCTTTATGTTTTCCTTGATTCAACTGCAGGTCAAAGAAAGACCCAAAACAATGGTTTCAGATCAATGGTTTGAATAGATATATACAATTTTTTTATAATTTTTGAGATAATGCTACATAAGATCTCAGGCTAGTTGTAACAATTGGTTGTCTAACCAATATTTTAGGACTTCCAGAACTTTCAATAAAAGAATAAATCTCAGTCAGGATTTTAAGTACCAGAGTACTTTCATGAACCCCCCAGAAAACTTCAACTCTTTTTAACTCTCTGTTGACAGCAACCTAGTTTTGCATTTCTCTGTTTAGTCTACTCCTGTTGTATTGCACATGTCAGTTTTTTCTCCCAGACTTATATGGGACATATGTCTGGAAACCGGCTATAATCCATCTCAGTGAGGATCTTACAGAGATAAGTTCCTCTGCTTTGTTTCTATGCCTTGGCTTGCTGACTTAATGTGTCCCTTCTTTAAAGGGATATCTTAAGATAGGGAAGATTCACTTTGATTAATCATTTCAGTATGAGAATGGGAGCCTTGGTGCATGTAAAAGTTTAGGATTTCAAAGATAGGGACTATCAGTTTATACTCAGGGAAATATTCTCCGTATATGAAGACATGCTTAATTTTCGAGAACAAGAGATTTTGAGAAAACAAGAGAGAATATAAACATTCAGAATCAATTTGTTGCACTTATATATTGAACATTTTTGTTAGCAGTTAATGCTAAGTGTTTTTACATGATTTATTACTTATTTCATCTTATTTCACTACATTACTAACTTTAGTACAGATAGTATTCAAACATTATAATGCTTCTTCTCCCTTTCTGTGTCCAATACTGGATATAATCTGGACATCATTACTGGTGAAGACTATTAATAATTTGTCCCAAATGACAGTTATTAGAAACCTATGCACATGTTAAAGAATGTGAGCATATAGTTATGTGGGTCTCAACAGTACAGTATAAAAATTAAGAATTTCACCTGCAGAAACTAAATCAGTCAAGAATAAAGGAAAATGTTTTCTGAAACATCAAATTGGGATCAATCCAATTTACAATCTGTGCATCTCCCACAGGATACAATTTAAGGGCTGTTCTGACGATTCTAGGACCACATCTGTAATATTTGCTTCCCAATGAAAAGAATATTCCACATTTAGGAATCATGCATTATATGCGTTTTTCAGGGAATAAAAGTATGGCATACATGTACAGTTTCTGGATTTACATATAAACAATGTCAGCCTTGAATTAGAAATAATGACATGAAAACACTTCAGTACTGCTCACCTTTCCATGCATCAATAATCTGATGGTGAGAGTTACATTCAGACCACCTTCAGAGACTTTAGATTCCATATTCTTGGAATATTGGATGATGTAGAAAGTTTGGAGACTCAAAGAAATAAAGATATATCTCCACAGGAGATTGCCTGTCAGCAAAAAAACAAATGCTCTTTTTGTAGGATAAACTTCTAATAAAAATAAATCAAAAACAAACATTTGCTATCACTCAGCACATCAGCTGCAGCTTCAAGTCTAAGGGTGAGGATAAAATTCTATTCAGCAATCTAAACACAATGCTGACATCATGTGAACTTCAGTTAGGGTCTCCTTATTCAGCAGTTGCATCAATAAACCCTCCTCAACACAGAGGCCACTTGAACCTCTTTTGATACATACATACATACATACATACATACATTCATACATACATACATACAACATGTATATATACTATATATATGTATGTATGTATGTATCTTATTTGTATCTTAGGGTCTGTGTTGACTCCTGACAACTAGTTTCTATAGTTTTCTTGGCAAAGTTTTTCTGAAGTGGTCTGCCTGCTTCCTAAAGCTGAGAGAGTGATAGGCTGGTTTTGTGCCCAAGGCAGGACTACAACTCACAGTCTCCTGGCTTCTAGCCTGGTGCCTTAACCACTGCACCAAACTGACGTGCTATTCTATTTAGAACAGACAAATTCTACCCACCACCCTACCCCACCCACAAGATTTGTTACTTCTCACCTGTCATTTCATTACATCCAGACATTGGATCAGGGCATGCACTTCACTTCTTTAAATCTGGTGTCATCTGCAATCTGCTGGCACTTATGATCATTCCCCTGATGATAGTCCCAATAGTTTCATATAAGTTATAAGTAAATGTATGTATATGTATATGTATAATAGGTAACAAAATAGTGCTTGATTACATAGCTGCCACAGTCACCCATGCCATAATGAAGTAGATGAGACAGTCTAAAATAAGGACAGGTCTCCCGCCATCATTATTCAATTTCTCACATGTGAAAGCATTTTATATTATACAAGAGTTGCGATTATAACTGTTCTTTGTCTCAAACCTTTTTGTTGCAATTTTTTTTAGATTTTTTTAAAAATCCCACCTTGATTATTTTTATCAATAACTCAAGGTGATGAATGTATCTAATACTCCTTCCTCCTCCTGTTTCCCCCCTCCCCAACAACAAGCCTGTGAGGTGGGTTGGGCTGAGAGAAAATGAGTGACTTGCTCAAGGTCACCCAGTTGCCTTTCAAGGCAAGACTAGAACTCTGTCTCTGGTTTCTAGCCTGCTGCCTTAACCACTAGAATTTAGTAGTGGAATTTATTTTGAAGAAAGACACCCTGATTCTTGGAAATGCCAACATGGACTACGGTAGTCCTTTTTTCTGTCTGAAAAATGTAAAGCATGAAAATCAAGCTGTTATGTAAATATTTCCAATTGATTGAAAAAGTGGGTCATGTGTTAGCCAAATGCTCCCGGCTTTAAGATTTATCAGTGCTATTAAATTATATATGCTTCATGCTTTGGCACGCAGGAGAGCTACATTAGCCTTTTTTCTTTGTACTGATGAAAGATAAGCATTTTTGTCAGAACCTTAATGGACATATGAGCTACAACACAGAAAACATTTTTCACTTTTTATTTATGCAACCATAGATACAGATATAGAAAAAAGGTTGAAAGCTTAGACTAGAGATTTTTTGTATATTTTATTATCTTGTACTTAATTTTAAAGAAATCATGAAATGGATTATTAGATTTTTATTAGAAAAGCCTAAAGGTCTGACTACTGGATGCATATGCTAGGAAATACTGGGATAAGAATCATATAATGTAGTTTAATTATTTTCCATCCTTCTTTAAATTATAATCTTCTTAGTTTTTGTTTGTTTATTTCAGTTAATTAGACTACCGCAGAAAGATATTAAGATTATTCTGGAAAAAAATATGGTCCCTGGAATTTTATTCTTCTGTGAATAATTTATGTATAGTTGGAATTATGGCAGTAGAGGCAAAAGACCAACAGAGGTTCTTGAGGGTACTTTAACACAGAAACAATTGTCTTTGCCTAAAGATTATCACTAGATTTAAGATCTCTCATGAAGTTCTAGATTCTCATTTTCATATTGGTAAATTGTTTCAGGCATTCACTGAGAATTTCCTTGGACTTTATTTGAGGAATGATGTTTTACTTTCAATAAAAAAAGCCTACTTGGGCTTTATTTCAATAGAGAAATAAAAATACTTAAAAGAGTCATTCCTTAGAATATACCAAGGAAGTTCAAAAATGTAGAAGAGGTTTAACATAACATTGCTTGAGAAAACAATCTTCAGTAGCTCATCAGCATTGCAATTATTTTTGTTCTACATTTATCTAACAAAATATTTCATAATCAAGTGGAAGATGAATAATAACCTATCTCTTTAAATTCTTTAAAGTTATTTTAGAGCAGTGGTGGCGAATCTATGGCACGCGTGCCAGAGGTTGCACTCAGGGCCTTCTCTGTGGGCACATGTGCCGTTGCCCAAGCCGCACCTCCCCCCGCAACCCCCTCCTCAACAGCAGCCTCTCTAGAGGAGAGTCGCCCCCAAGCGTGGCCCATGTGGATCAGCGCAGCCAAGGACATGGCAGCCAGGCAGTATGGACAAGACTCTGCCCTCATGCCCCATCGTGCACAGTTGATGCTGCGGGGCGCGGGCAGGGGCACTGCTGGGCTGCCTGGGTGATCTGTGGCGGGCCCTGGAAATGGTGAGTGGCCCTGTGGGCAGGCAGGATGGGGGAATGGGGTCGGGGCAGGACAGTGGGTGGAACGGGGGAGGGGCCAATTTTGGGGCAATCAGTCTCTAAAAGGTTTGCCATCACTGTTTTAGAGGAAAGTCAGATTCTTTTTTTAAAAAGTCATGTTATTGTGGCTTATTCTGCCACATTTGCATTCAGACTGCTGAACATTTTTATATCTGGTTCCTAAATAAATAATTGCTTGTGGCAGCTGAATGTTTTTGGCTACATAAAAAGATTACTATAGTAATTGCAATTTCTTTTGCAATCACACTTTCTTTTCTTTCTCCCCATTTCTTCCCCATCCCCTTGCTCTTTACAGGTAGTCCTCAACATACAACCACAATTAGGAGGAACTTGTGTTGCTAAGTGAGGCAGTTGTTAAGTGAGCTGTGCCCAATTTTATATCCTTTTTGCTGCAGTTGTTAAGCAGATTATATAGTCATTAGGTGAATCATGCAATCATTAAGCAAATCAGGCTTCTCCCACTGACTTTCTCTGGTTGAGAAAGTTGCAAATAGCAACCACATGAACCCAAGACAGTGCAACCATTGTAAAGATATGCCAGTTACTAAGCCCCAAATTTTGATCACATGACCACAAGATGTTGCATCATCATATATGTGAGGACGTTTGTAAGTCACTTTTTCAGCACCATCATAACTTTGAATGGTTGCTAAATAAATGGCCACAAATGAAGGACTTCCTGTATTGCTTCTGTTCTAAATGTGCCCTCACTTGAGTTATATAATTTAATAAATTAATTAGAAATTTCTCTTTTTTTCTTCTTCCCATTGATTCTTGTAGTACATATATTAATAATTTCCCAACTATTTATGCATAGGAAACATTAAATATGTACTGCAGAATCTTTCACTACTTCTCATCAGCATGCTTAGATTTTATTTTTAACTATATTTAAGTTTTCTTATCCTATTCTCACTTGTTGGGGGGGGGGGCTGATATTTTGCTAGAGTATGAATGAATTTATTTTTCTTTCTTCTTGCTCATTGTTTTAAAATTGATAATGTTCAATGACAGTCTCCTTTGTAACCTTGAAAAATCTTGAAGTTTCAAACTATATGTGGACAAGTACTGACAAAAATATGAGGATCAATCAGAAATGAAATTGTACTTTTTGCAAGAGGCTCATAGTTTCCTTAACCTTTACCAAAAGCTCATGTGAGAATCATCTATGAAAATGGTAGATAGAAACATGCAAGAGCAGTTTCAGCTTTGATCAGAAGATACTCTACATTGATTGTTAAAGAAGAAATATCAGATGCAAGAGATAATTTTTTAAAATAATTTGTCAGAATGGTTGATCAATATCTACCTTTCCTGAATTTAAATTGCCTCAACAAATTTGTAATTGTTTTTCATATCTTCATATTGACAACATTAAATTCCTTTTCATATAGCAATATGCCATGACCTGTATTCTATGCTCAGATTCATAGTATAGATTATGTGTCTAGATTTGATGGTGAACATTTCTTCCTTAATACTGAACGTTTGCAAGACTTTCCTTATTCCAATAAATGTTATGAAGTACTAAATCATCCATATGTCAATCTTCAGGGACCAAATTCTTAGGCAAACTGGGCAGCAGGGAGGATATTTAATAAGATTTTGATGTGCAAATTAATATAACCATTAAATAACAAGGAGGTAAAATAGAGTTTGCATTTCAATAGTTGCTCATAATGATCTACTGGCCTTATACCATAGGGAAGAATTATCATATCCATTTTGGAAAAGCAGTCATTCAAATTCCTTCCAGTAGTTAAGACCTTCACAAGTTATATCACTTAAATAAAGGAAACTTTTGTTTCTCGCTTTTCAAAATGTTCTATATATGTTTACCACCAAATGAAACTCATAGCAGAGTGTTAGGAGTAATCTCGTTACCCAGAAACAGGCTATATATAAACTGTGCTTTCTTTGTTTTATTTTCATTCTATATTAGCCCAAATGGAAGTGAATGGATCTAGATATTGGTATCTATCTCTGTGCTCTTCTAGGGCTGCAAATTTCATCTAATCTGACTAAAAGCAAAAGAAGAACTGTAAAACACTTGGAAATTTCTTATGACAATCAATAGGAGAGATAAAGTTTAGATTTCTAAATTTTCTAATTTAGCATTGAGCAGAACCCAGGTGTTAAATCATTCCAAGTTGAGCAGGACTATTGGCAAATGTCAGGTTCCAAACCAAATGGTTCCAGTTGTCTGAAAGAGCTCAGTTTGTCTGTACCACTCAGTTTGTCTGTATCAGTTAGTTTGTCTGTATCACTGTAAATATCCAAAAGGACTGGAAAATGTTGGAAATATTTTTTGATCTGCTCTGGGTGTATTCTGAATATGTCATTTCAAGATTTGGGACTTATTCTGATGCATTTTAATTAAGACATGATGCATAAGAATGGTCTCAAATTTGTGCAAAATTTCAGCATCAAAGTGCAAAGTATTTTATTAGAATATATATATCTGTCTGAGCAGTACTGCTTTCTACTGAGCCAACTGTCAGCAGTCTGTTCTGTGAGATTTTATTTTTTCCATTCTAAGGGTTAGAATAGAATAGAATAGAATAGAAACTTTATCGCCATTTTAAATGTACATTAATCAGCATACATTAAAATGAAATTTTGTTGCATTCAGCTCTCAAAAAAATACCATTATGCATATATCCACAAGGGTTAGAAGGGAGATGACGTATCAGGTCAGGAACCAAGCATTCTGAACCCATCGATCAGCTTACGATTCAAGATTTATTCTGATACATGTTTTTAACTAAACTTAACTAAATTAAGAGAGAAGCTAAAACTTAAGGATGCCTTCTATGTAAGCTGGGGATTAGTTAGAAATTTGCCTTTTTGTATCAGAAGGTTTTGTGCCAATCCAATTTATATATGTTGGTACCCTCTCAAGCTATTTGAGTCTCATATACTTCCCAATAGAATTGGTGCCTGACCATCCATTGCACATTATGGGAGACTGAAGTTTGAGTTTCGTTATGTTTTTATGAACACCAAATGCCTT